TATCTTATTAGTTTTTTAATGTTTATTTATGAGAGAGAGAGAGAGACAGACAGAGCACAAGCTGGGGAGGGGCAGAGAGAGAGGAAGACACTGAATTCGAAGCAGGATCCAGACTCTGAGCTGTCAGCACAGAGCCTGATGTGGGGCTCGAACCTACGAACCATGAGATCATGACCTGAGCCAAAGTCGGACGCTTAACCAACTGAGCCACCCAGGCGCCCCCCAATAAACCTACTTTAAAAGAAAAAAGAATTGGAGAGAGTCATGAAAAGAGGGTGATGGATCTGTATCTGCTGTCATGGAAATATCTTGCATTCATTTTATTAAGTCAAAGTCAAGAGGCAAAACAACATGTAAACTGTTAATTGCAAATCTTAAAAATTCAATGTATTTTTATAGCACATCTACATATGAAAAAGTCTCAGATGAGCTTTAACCTGACACTCATCAGATTGTTAACTGTGAATGCCTCTGAAGAGGGGACTGAATTTTGACGAAAGAGGATATTGTAATTTATCTGTATCGTCAAAATTTTTTACAAGAACATAAGTACTATTGTCTTTGTTATTAAAATATTTAAATATACGGAACCACTTGGATAGTAGCTGTGCATTAATCAGATAAAGTGACTGATAGGTGATAAAACAGCTAACCCGCCAGGGCTTAAAACAACAAAAGTTTGGGAACGGCTCAGTCAGAAGGGACTCTGGCTCAGGTCATGATCTCACGTTTCAGTTCGTGAGTTCCAGCCCCGCATTGTGCTCTCTGCTGTCGGCACAGAGCCGGCTTCAGATATTTTGTCCCCCCACTTGCTGACTCTCCCCGGCTTGTGCGCGCACTCTCTCTCAAAAATAAACAAACATAAATAAACAAACAAACAAACAAACAAATAAATAAAATTAGGGGCGCCTGGGCAGCTCAGTCGATTGAGCATCCGACTTCGGCTCAGGTCATGATCTCGCTGTTCATGAGTTTGAGCCCTGCGGCAGGCTCTGTGCTGACAGCTCTGAGCCTGGAGTCTGCTTCGGATTCTGTGTCTCCCCCTCTCTTTGCCCCTCTCTTCTCCTGCTCATGCTGTCTCTCTCTCTCAAAAATAAACATTAATTTTTTTAAATTAATAAATAAAATTAAAAATCATAGCAACAACAAAAGTTTGTTTCTCATACACATAAACTCTGACGTGAGTTGGCAGGTGTCCAGGCTGCTCCCATGATTCCACTTCTCAACAAGGGTCTCAAGGTTGGCTGCTGAATGAAACAGAAAGCATGGATGAGACACACTGGCTCTCAAATATCTTGGCCTGGAGGTGACAAATACTGTTTCTGGTCCTATTTCAGTGGCAGCAGCAGTCACATGACTCTCCCTAAGTGAGGATGCAGTCTCCCTGTCAGCCCGGGAAGAAGAGTGAGACATGGTGTCCAGGAGCGCTTGCAGCCTTTCCCATAAACTGTAACTTAGTAGGTGCTCAACAAAGAGATAAAGAGCAATTATCAAAGTTTGTTGTGAAAACAACCCTCCTCTTGGAGTTTCTAAGGAGGCCAGTTTGCCTCGCAATTCTGCAAATTTTTCCAATCCTGCTATGTGGCACGTTCTTTGAAACACTGGATCACATTTAATTTTCAAAAGGATCCCGTAAAATCGCAGTAAGGAAGGCTCACCTTTTGCACTCAATAGCACCTTTCTGAACTCACCTTTTAAATGAATTCTAGAATCTCCGTAGGATGAGAATGTTCTCTTTCTATTGAAGCACGGTCAAAACTTTCACTTGTGAGTCTGGGCAACCCTCAGCATGACTGAACATGCAGGACACTTTTACGGATGCCATGAGGCACAAAGACAACCCAGCATTTGCCTCTGGGGCAAGTACTGAGATAAGAGGCAGCAGAAAGAGAGCCAATTATTTTAGCCTTTGCTGTTGAAAGTTAGTGTGTCTGTCAAGAAACCATTTTTTCTCCTGCTAGAAGAACTCTAGGTTCTGAGGAATTCAGCGTCAGTAGATGTTTGCTGCAGAGTGATTTCCATGCTTAAAAAATTACAAGGGAAGCTTTGATTGATGACCATCTAAGTAAGCTCCGTCATTGGTTTATGTGTTCCGTGGCCAGCAAAATAACACACTCCTGCAAAATCCTACTGACAATATCTGTGTCCTTTATACCGACCTCCCTCCCCCCATCTAACTTCATTTAAATCCCAAGAACCGTATTTTCTTTGTATTTTCTTACAAAATAGGACTCTAGTGACCAGCTCATTTGGAACATACTTTGATACTGTTGTAGGGATGGGTGGCGGTGCTGTAGTAATCAGGTATATAAACTTCACGGTCTATGGTTCCACTGAGGGACAGGACCTCCCAGGTACACCTGCAGACAGGTGGAAGGCTCTAAGGTGGAGGGCAGGTGATTCGGGACTGTCTGTATCACAGGAAGCTGGGTGCACCCTGGAGCAGACACAGTGAAGAGCTGGTCAGCAAAGGAGGTTCCAATTAGGACAGCAGGACACACTGGGGAATAGTCAGGGGACAGATGTTGTAAGGCTGGAAAGGGCTGGGACAAGAGGCGACTCAGTAAACGAGGCCCACAAACAACACCCCAACTGTGCTTTATTCTCATATTCACCGTCCTTCACGAGGACAGCTTTTAGCACTTAGGCCAGTGTCCTGGTTTTTAATTACCTGTGATACATCTTGGAGTAGTGAGAAGAATAGAACAAGAAGGAATGGAAGGTTGCCTCAGGCTGGAGGAATCCAAAAGTATGGGCTCCAAATAAAATTGACCAGGGATCTAGTCCCGGCTCTGCCAGTATCGGCCATGTGAACTGGAGAAAATGACAAGTTCTTTAACTGCAAAGTATGCCTGATAAGCTCTATCTCGTAGGACTGTTGGACTAAATGTAATGCTTAGGAAGCGCTTGGCAGAGTAATTGGAAAACAGGAGGTCTTCAATGAATGGTAATCATCACGGGATTTGATTTTTTTTAACTGCAGACAATACCACCGTCCCCCTGGGGAGATTTATTTATTTCAATGTTTATTTATTTTTGAGAGAGAGAGAGAAAGAGGAAGCAGGGGAAGGGCAGAAAGCGAGGGAGACAGAGGATCCCAAGCAGGCTCTGCACTGTCATCACAGAGCGCAATGTGGGGCTCGAACTCACAAAACTGTGAGATCGAGACCTGAGCTGAGGTCGGGGGCTTAACCAAATGAGCCACCCAGGCACCCTTATTTTATTTATTTTTATTTTTAATTTATTTTTATTTTTATGAGGTTTCTAAATTCAGGAGTTATCAAAGAATATGCAGCTTTCTCAGACAAATGACACCAAATTCATCCATAACGCTGCTCAGCAAGTACAACTAAAGAAAATTTTTCCCAGGTTCAGGATGTGTTACTTAACTTGGGTGTGGAAGAGTCTCCCCCAGCCAGATGCGACTTAGATGTCCTAGAATGTGTCAAGGACCAACGCCTTTGCTCCCAGGGGCCTTTCCATCCAAACCACCCCTATTTTCATTCATTACACCAGCACCAAAAATCTAATCCTCCCTTAGAATTGGCAAAATCACACTCCTGATAATCCAATTAAAAGGCCATTTAAATGCGTTTGGACCTGGTTCCCCACCCAGTTCAGAGCAAAGACAGACAACATAGTAAGTTCTCAACATCCCACCTCAGAGTAATACCACCCTTATTAGACATTCCCTGGAGATGCTGTGCCTAAGACAATGAGATTGTGCCGTGTGTCCAACTGCCCGTGAGGAAGAACACCGGCTGCCTTCCATTTCTGCCCATGAAGGAGGTTTTCCTCCGGGATACTGATGATACCAAAGTAACTCAACAGCAGCTTTGCATTCCTGGGTTTTGTCCTTCAACACCGAGAAACCATCTGTCTGGCTGGCCCCCGCTCACCAGCCCCACAGCCTCCCGTGGCCCACCAGGCAGCTTAAATTAACAGCCTGGCCCACCAAGGAACGTGTAGTTTCCTAAAGCCCCAAAGTGCCTTTCCTCGGGGAATGTGTGTCTTACTGCTCTTAGCTAGACACCCTCCCCATCCCACCTCTCCCAACCCCTCCCTGCCTCTTAACCTCTTTACTCCTTCTTAGTGGTCCTTTAGGTCTTAGAGGGTCTTTCACCATCCTCCATATGCGATTATTGTTCCTGGACTGTCGCATTCTAAGGACAGGAGTGTTGTATTTATATCCCAGCTTCCCCATTTCTAGCACTGTGACTTTCAAAGAGCAGACGCTTAATTAGTATTTGGAAAATAAATGAGCCAGCAAGCATGAATTCTAGTGTTTCAACTTTTTATTTCTCCTACATTCTTTAATAAGCAAATCCAAGCACGCCATCTTGTATTCTTACAGAACAAGAGACTAAAATGTATACGGAAAACCAAGAACAAATGGCTTTCACTTCTATCCTCTCCATTTTTTGATCCTAGTAATTTTACTGCTAAAGTGTGCATTTCCAAGGAAATGCTCGTGACAATACCATCTTTTACCGTTCTTTTTTGGTAAGTGTGAAAGGTTTCCCCATGTGTTTTACTAAATAATAAAACTCCTTCCCTGAAGCCTATTGAACCGCAACAAATATGCAACCAAAATCATTAATTTAGATTTGAAAATAATGTAAACTTTCTATTAAAGAAATAACACTTGAAATAAAAAGAAAAAAAAAGAGTGAAAGAAAGAGGAAAAGAAAGAAAGAAAAAAAAATAAAGGACTCTTAAGTTTACCATATAGAACAAGAACACCAAGATGATATTCACTGTGTTCCTTCCAGACCTACCCTGGCCACTGCCATCCACTATTTAGAACGTTGACTGCTTTTTTCCACAAAGAAAACGAACTGCTTCAAACTTCAACATATGAAATACAACCTAAAAAAAAAGAAGGTGACATTCCAAGTTACCAATACACAACAGGAACACAGATGATACACACTTCTCCGGCCCCACCCTGCCCCTCCACTGTTAGAATGGTGACATACCTTTTGGACCAGCCTGAGACTTCACTTTGAGTGGGATGAGCTGGAGGCCATGGCCCTGGCACGTGCACTGGCCATGGCAGTGATACGAGCCCTGGCTGCCGCTCGGGCTCGGGCTCGCTCTTCCTCATCTCTCAAAGCCTCTTCATACCAGGCTGGGAAAGCACTGGGGACGGTATCGTGAACTTTGGCGAGAAACTCCAGGATTCTCATCTTGCTGGTCTCGGCATGGGCTCTGGGGCCCCACAGGAACTCATAGCACGGAGGGTCGCTGTTGGGCACCTGCCGGTACTCCAGGTACTTGAGCTGCACCAAATCTTCAGTGATGATCTTCTTTGGCTCCCCATAGATGAAGTGCTTCTTATCCGAATATATGCCCATCAGATTCAGGACTTCCCAGACCTCCTCCTCCCGGGCGCAGTTGCCTTTCATGAAGATTACCCCCAGCATGATCATCAGGATGCCGGTCTTGGGCATGTTCTCTTCTTCATGCATCGTGCCATCGACGCTGAGGTCTAGTTTGCTGAGGAGGGCATAGCAGTGCCGGATGGGATCCACTTCCTTCACATCAATACCAAAGGCCAGCTCCATATGCTCAGAGGCTCTCTTGAGGATCTCATTGAAATGATACTTGTACTTTTTGATGACATACCTTAGCATGTCTGCCCTCGTAACTGGCTCTTTCTTTTGATACTTCTGCAGCAGGAACTGTACCAACAACACTACCTTCTTGTTTAATGGATCTCTGCGTGAGAACTCAGTGCCCTTAGAGGATTGTTGGCTTCCCTCATCTTGGCTTTTGGCACCTTCATCTGAATTGGTGCATGAAACACCTGCACCAGCACTGGCGGGAGAGGAGCTCCCCTTGGCTGCCTGAGGACTGCTGCATGTCGCAGCGGCAGACAAATTCTGAGCTCTATCCCCAGAGAGAGGGCAGGCAGGGGAGGGGGACTCTCCTGCTGCTATGGCTGCTGCACCTGCTAGTGCTTCTGCAGTAGCCTCAGGGCCCTCCAGACCCTGGGTCTCAGCACGGGCCTGGCGGCGTCTCTCACGGGCACGGAGCTTACTCTTCTGACCTCTAGGCATGGTGATAGCAGGTGGGAGTGCAAGCAGTCCGGCTAATGAAGAGGTCACCCTAGAATATGGAGGAAGAGATGGAGTGCATTGGTAGGGATATTCTACCTGCTCTCCGAGGTAAGCTGCCTCCGCTTACTGTTTTGTGGGTACTGTTTTAGGAACCGACAAAACACGGGCGGGCAGGACTCTGGATCTCCACTCTTCCTCGGGGGCTTGTAACCTCAGTTCTAATTCAGAATACTAAACTTTGCTCCTGACTCGTCCTTTGAAACCTCCCTCTGCCGCCCCTTCAAGGATAGTCCTCCCATCCCAACCGTTCCCAACGTGAAAGTAAGAGGGCATTAGTCCTAACAGCTTGTGCCACGAGTTGGTGGCAGTGGGGGTGGGGCATACCAGAGGAGAACGGAGCCCTCTCTGGGGCACCTACGGTCTGAAAGGAGTGCAACCCTTCAGTTCCAACAAGTTACTCACCTCAACACCTGCCAGATCATGGGCCTCCTCCCTCGGCCACCCGTGAGACCACACCACTCAGACTAGACCTCAAGTTCCACAGCAGCGGGGTGTAGCGGAAGTCAGGGTGAGCACTTCCGGCCACGCCCACATGGGCTCCCTAGCATAAAAGCCCGGGTAGGTTTCTGGGTTGGGGGGCCTTCCCTGAGTTCTGGTGTCAAGGGAATTATGCTGAACTCAGACCTGGGTCTTTCCTGACTTCTGACAGGGAGAGGCCGGGACTTCTCCCTCTGGTGAATTTAGTAAGCGCACCTCAGACCAAGCCTTTCATTTCCATCAGAAACCCCCAGTAGCAAGTAAGGCGGGAGCAGAGCCTAGCAGTTGTCACAGGGACCTTCCTAGAATGACAGCGGGGGGGGGGGG